GGGAAGAGGACTGGATGCAGGGACACCAGGGAGGCTAGAGCAGCAATTTAGGCAACATGAGAGAGTACTTAGATGGGGCGGGGGGCATTGGGGGGTGAGCCTGGATCAACCTGGGTGAACTCAAAGGAGAAGCAGAAGTTGGGGCATGGAAGGATCTAGGGTGGCGCCTGGGTTTCTAGTGTGCATAACTGGTGGATAGGGCTCTGTCTTGGGCCAGTATCCAGGTGAGGGCAAATACCTGGTGAATATGCTATAAACACGTGCCTGTTGAAGTACAGAAGGCCTTAGTGGGAAGAAGGATTTTCATAGCATGAGGATATGTCTGCTCACTTCCTCCTTCCCTTCATTTCCTGTGGCTTTGCCTGCCTTGGATTACCCAACCATCTGTGTCCTGCCGGACTAGCCACAGCTCAGTATTTCTTTTTAAAAAATGCTTTATTTTTGATTAACATGTATGAGTTGAATATATTGATAGGATTCTGTGTAATATTTTGAAACATGTATACAGTGTGTACTAATCAAATTCAGCCTCCCTCAGCTCTCCTCCCCTTCTCAACCTCTAGCAATCACTCGTCTACATCCAGGTCTACTTTTTTTGGCTTCCATTTATGATAGACTACTCAGTATTTGCCTCCTGTGTCTGGTTGCCTTCACTCTCAGTCCCATCCAGACTCCTGTTTCTGACCCTGTACAAAAATCAACTAAAAATGGAGCCAACCCAGATGCCCATCAGCAGATGAATGGATAAAGAAAATGTGGTACATATTCACCATGGAGTATCATTCAGCCACAAAGAAGTAAGATTTTATGACATTTGCAGGTAAGTAGAAGGATCTGGAAACCATCATGCTAAGTGAAATAGGCTAATCCTACCCCAAACCAAAGGTTGAATGTTTTCTCTGAGATGCGTAAACTAACCCACAACAAGCAGAAGGGAGATTAGAAGTTCAGTGGAGTAGACAAAGGGGAATGAAGGGAAGGGAGGGAGGTGGAAAAAGGAAAGACAGTGTAATGAATCTGACATAATTTTCCTGTGCATACAAATGAACACACCACAGTGATTCCCACCATCTTGTACATCACAAGAAATTAATTAAAAAAATAACTGTGTGTAAATGGTAGAAAGATCGATAGACGGAAGGGCCCTGCAGTGGGTGGGGACAGGGAAGGGGAAGGAGAGGTACTGGGGACTGAATTAGAATAAGATATATTCCTGCTTGGATAATATATCAAAATGGATTCTACTGTCATATATCTCTAAAAGGAACTAATCAAAAATGTGTTAAAAAACACAATGTAAGACCTGAAACTATGAAAATAGTACAAGATAACACAGAGGAAACACTTTGAGGCATTGGGATCAGCAATATTTTTGGGGATCTGATCACAAAAGGAAATAAAGTGAAAAAAAAATAGACAAATGGGATTACAGCAAATGCAACAGCTTCTGCACTGCTAAGGGAACCATCAAGAGTGTGAGGAGACGACCTATGGAAAAATGGGAGGGAACACTAGCCATTCATCTTGCAATTAATTAGCATCCAGAATACGTAAGAAACTCAAAAAAGCAAATCATCCAATTAAAAAGGAGGCAAATGGTCAGAATAGAAAAAACACAAATGGCCAATAACCCAGCTCAGTATATCCAATTCCCAGGCCCCAGTGGCTATACCGGGAGGCATTACCTCTATTTCCCTAAGAATGGGTGCATGTTCTGCCCCTCCCCCACCCTCTCCAGCCACCCTCTCCAGCCACAGCACCATTACTGCCAAGAATTGCTATAGTTTTTCATCAATTTTCTTGGCATTTTGCAGTTGTATTAACATTAAGATTTATACTCAATAGTATCATAATTTTCTACTACTAATAGGATTAGTATTTTTATTCATTTGCTTTTGAAAGCCATTAGCATAAAATTTACCTCCAACAATCCCTATTGTGATTTTTAATGCCCTTGAAACTTGCCATGAGTGATAAGTCTATAATAAAAGAAATGCTGGCAAACATATAAAAGTCCTTTGTGGGAAAAGAGGGCTTTTTATTTTCATCATAGTTGGACTCCAGTTCTTTGATGGAAACATTGGTAGGCTATAAAGTATTAAGTGCTGAGAACACTGTTAGTTTGTAGATGTTTTCAAACAAGTCCCCTGGTATCTCGAGGACACTTTTATATTCTAGGAGGATTCATATTCGTGCTTCCTTTCATGTTGTTTCTTGCCTGACTTAGACAAAAGTACAAGTCATGTGTTTGTTGGGAACAATATTCAGGGCCATGAATTGTATAGAAGTGAAGGGACCCTGAAATTACTCTGCCCAGCTGACTTTTCAAGGAGCTGGGAACTTGACGTGCTGCTAGCAGAGGTCCCATCCAGAGGCTGGTGAGAGGAGTTCCTCTGGAGGGCAGCGGAGTGGGCAGGGAAGGTGCACAGGCAGGGCTGGCATTGTGGGTGTTATGACCTGTGCAGTCTCCCTGGGCCCCATGCTTTGAAATTTGCAGCATCACCATTTTGAAATTCTTAAGTTTGAATAAGGAACCCCGTGTCTGCACTGAGCCCAACAAATTATACTTTTCGTATTGTGCATAGGCTTTGGAGATGGACAGACTTGGGCATGGGTTCTGGTATTTTCTGCAATTAAACAGGCCTTGGTTTCCTGATCTGTAGAACTGGGATAATAATATTGTCCTGTCAGACTGGATGTACAGGGAGCTAACAATAGATGTCCAGTACCCTCCACAGTAGTGACAGACACTAGCACATGCTGCTCCTTCCCATGGGTTGACTCCACAATTAAACTTACCATTATATGACTTTGTGTCAGGGACGATAGCCCGCTGGGATAGGCAGACTCTGCCTGAGTGCTGTACAGGCCAGCCCCAGGCATGCTGGTGAGAATCACCCCAAGCAAAGAACACTCTCCTAAGGCTAGGGTCCCATCCCAGAGTTTCCAACCTTTTTATACTTGTGACATAGGACAGTGTTCATCAGTGCAATGGAATCCTAGGTTTGTATGAATCCCGCATGCTTCTCTTCTCTCCAGAAACTCCCAAGACAGCCAATAAGTGAGACTGACATTATTATGAAGATGCCCTTGACCTTGATCTAATTTATTTGTTAACTTTAGTATTTCTTTTTGTTTATTAGTTGCTCATGACAATACAAAGATCTTGACATATCATACATTTGATTTTTTTCCACATGTACAGGTTGCAGGATCATACTGGTTATACGGCCATGTATATACATAGAGAAAAACTAGTGTCTATTGTATTCTGCTGCCCTTCCTATCCCCCCTCCCCTCCCCTCCCCTCCTATCACCTCTCTCTACCCAATCTACTGTGACACATTTCTCTCTCTTTTTTTTCTTCCCCCTCACATCCTCATACATGTATTTTGTATAACGATGAGGGTCTCCTTCGTCTTCTGTGCAATTCCCCTTCTCTCTCCCATTCCCTCCTACCTCTCTTCCCTATTTAGTGGTAATCTTCTTCTCATGCTCTTCCTCCCTACTCTATTTTGAGTCACCCCCCTTAACGTTAGTATTTCAACTATTATTTGTAACAAATGGTTTTCAATACCCCACATCACAGAGTTGGACAAGTCTATTGGTCATAGTTCCAAGCTTGAGAACCAGGAACGTGGACTCTCCATATCCCAGAAAGAGAGTCTCACCCATGACAGGCCAGACAGACTAGCATCAATATGGACCCCTTGTGACTCTGCCTGGAGTGGCATCTCTTGTTAGGCACGGCAGCCTGAGTCATAGAACCTCAGAGTAGGTAGATGGCCAAACTTTTGATGAATAGCGTGCAGTCTTAAAACATCTGGTCAAACATTTTTCCCCCCAAGAAAAAAGACCTAAAATCAAATTAATAAGGAACACATTCTTGGGCATTTTTCAACTTTGGTCCAGAAGGATTTCTTTGGCGATTATAGTGGGAGTCAGAGTGACCTTTGCTACATTCATTTTAGTAAGGTTTGTGGAGAGCTTGGAGTCATGACAGGGGCTTCCAGGGGAAGGTCTCAGCTGTCCCCATGGCCTGGCACCACTAAGGCCTCTGAGCACCTGCATATCTTGTTATAGGGGCATCCATGTGTGAGGGGCCTCCTGCATGTTTTCAGGAGACGTCAGACAGGAGCACAGGGATGGCCTCTCAGTAACCATGCTGTGAGATGACCACTTCCAAAGCATGGTTTGCTGCTTCCCTCTTTCCTCCAGAATGCCTGGTGGGCAGTGAGATGGGGCTGCTCCCAGAGCTCTGTCAGGCTGGAGGGGCTTTGGTGGGCAGCCATAGCTGGAGCTAGGCTGTTGCCTCTCCACAGTACACAGCTGTTGACAAACTGCTCGCCTCTTCCAAGAGTCTCACCTCACCCTCTCTCTCTCGTGTCAGACACATTGGCTCTTGATGAGGAACAATGGCATTTTCAGCCAAACAAGTTGGCAAGATGGGCCTTTCCTCCCTTAGCTCTCGGTGGGATGATTGGGGGCTAGCTCCTGCAGCAGTTCCTGGGCCCATGTCACAGGGCACACAGAGAAGGCTTCAGCACACTGTGATCATGACTGATGACCAGCTAACTTATCAAATAAATACCTCAAGTCACAGTTGCAAAAAGCATGTGCCAATACACCACGGTTTATTTTCAGAAGTGACAATTTGGCTTAGACAGCTTGAGCATCATTCCCATCCCCTAAGGATCATAGTAAAAAAAAACTGTAAATCACTGCTTTGACTGTCAGGAGACCAGAGACATGGTATCCCAATAATGGCCACAGCGGCAGCATGGAGCACAGGCTGAGGAACACAGAATGAAGTCCGGAAAAACCCGAGACAATAACATGGGCACTTGTCACCTATCTTCCCCTTAACACAGAACCCCAAACTCATTTCATAGGTTTTCTTCTAGCCCATTGTACTGCAGATTTTCAGGACCTGGATGAGAAACCTAAGGGATGCTTTACTGCATTCCTGGATTTTGGTTAGTCTATGATTCTGTTCTTACCTGTTGTCGAATTTCTTCCTCCATCTTCACGGGAGAGCCCAGCTCTGCAACTTGTTTGACACCTTCGCTGGCGTAGCCTCCATACTCCCACAGCACGTAATTCTTGGAGTGGGATCCACCAATGATCGCAGACCAGTGATTGGCTCGACCTGGGAAAGTCAGTTGGGATGCAGAGATATCAGTGTGGCTGTGCCTGAAACAGGAACCCCTCAAATGATGGGGAGAAGAGATAACTGAACAGTAAGTCAAGGGGCACAGAGGAGGCACCTATTCTGTGTTAGGCTCACTGCTGTTCAGTGATGTGCACAGTCCCTATGACCAAGCAAGTCTGGGGAATGTGCAGACAGGCTAATAGCAGGTGTCCGCACAAGACAGAGAGGTAGCCCAAGGATGCCCTCTGTCTGGGAGGGCCTCTGTTAAGAGAATTTTAAAGGCTGATCAGATTTGTAAGGCAGATTGGAGAGGAAAGGCTATTTCTGGCAGACTCAGAAACACTAAATAACATGGTGTGTTTGGAGAGTCATCAGTAATTCAGCATTGCTGTGTCACAAGCTGTCAAGGGGACAGTTGGGAGAAGATGCCAGGGAGGTAGAAAGGAGCCTGCTCAGGAATGGCCTTGCTCTAAATGCTTCAGGAATTTGGGTGTCATTTGAAAGGATCTGAAAACCACTGAAGGGCTGTGAGCAGGGGAGGGACATGATTGCATTTGAATTTTAGATAAATCATCCAGGCAGCAGCTTGGAGGATGCATTGGAGGGAGCAAAACTGAAGTGGAGAGATGGGGAGGTGAGCAAGAGCAAAAGCTAAGGGGTGTGTGGAAACAGCCTGCAGCAATTCTCAGGACTGAGTGTGGCAGTCTTCATCTGGCTTTTGTATGCACTGCAGTATGAGGGGCAAGCAGGCTAGCCATATCCAAAGGATAGAACAGACAGGACGTGTGGAAGTGACCGGTCCACAGTGGTCTGGTGATGCTCATGTGAGGTGGTTGTTGTAGCAGGATGGCAGGAGGGAATTAATGCTCAACATAAGAGCATGAGGAGACAGAACTTGAGGATTTTATCCAAGTTTGCAAGGAAGAAAGAGCTGATAGTCAACATCAGCACCATATTGGACTTGTTTTTCCATGCAATAAATATGGATACATCTATATTTATCATTGACTAAGTCACATATAGTTCATCACAGGATCAGCTCAATTCTCAGGCATTCTTTGGTTGGTTTTACAAAGTCTTAAGCTAAAGAAATTTTTGGCACACTGAAGGAAAAAAAATTGAATTAGGTGAAACAACTGATGTTTTTGTTTTACCACACTGACACCCAGAATGGGCAGATCTCTTCATTCCACCCTGCCCATCCCATCTACAAAAATGATTCTTAACAGGTCTTATTTATATAGCTGCCATTGCTATCCCCAGGGCCTTCTGCTTCAGGGGCACTGGTGGGACTGAAAATTGGTGCAACCACTCTGGAATGCAATATGGAGATTCTTCAGAAAACTTGAAATGGAACCACCATTAGACTCAGTTATCCCACTCTTTGGGATATACCCAAAGGACTTAAAATTAGCATACTACAGTGACATAGTCATATCAATGTTTATAACAGCTCAATTCACAATAGCTAAGCTATGAAACCAACCTAGTTGCCCTTCAACATAGGAGTGGACAAAGAAATTGTGGTACCTATACACAATGGAATATTACTCAGCCATAAAAAGAATGACTTTATGACTTTTGCTGGTAAATGGATGGAGCTGGAGACTATCATGAAATAAGTGAAATAAGACCCCTCCCCCTGTAAAAAAAACCCAAACAAGAAACCAAAAGACTGAATGTTCTCTCTCACATGCAGATGCTAACACACAATAAAGGGGCAGGAGGGAAGAAAGGAAGTTCATTGGATTAGACAAAGGGAACTGAAGGGGAGGGAGAGGGATGGGAATAGGAAAGACAGAATGAATGTACATAACTTTCCTATGTTCATATATGAATATACAACCAGTGAAACTCCACATCATGTTCAACCACCAGAATGGATCCTAATTAGAATAAGTTGAACTTCATGAGTGTATAATATGTCAAAATACATTCTACTGTCATGTATACCTACAAAGAATAACAAAACCAAAAAAGAACATGGGCATAAAGCCAGGCTGCACCCTTCTGGCCCACTGAGGACAACGGAGCCCAACCCCAAGCAGATGACATCACCTTTGTGGGTCTGCCCAATTTCTCATCATTTCACATCAGAGAAATACAAACTTCATATTTATCCCACATATACCTAAAGAACACAGGTGGAGATGCTGCCAGCTACTTTTCTAATTCATTTCCTCGGTCGAAAGAATGTCCCAAACTGTCATCTAAGCTAACAGCAAGCTTATGTAGAAACAAGGGCTGGTAACCTATTTTGACCTTTGGCTCATGATTTGAACACAGGGAGACCAGATTCGTCATCTTTTGCATCCCCTGTGCTATACACAAAAATATCCCTTATTCTAGGCCTGTCCTACCTGTAATTCTGCACCTCAGTGATTTGGCACATGCTGTTCCTCTGTGCTCACCTCTCACTTGGCTTGGCCAACACTTATTCCTCCTTCATGAATTACTTGGAAGCCTCCCAAGACCACCTCAGGCATATGTGAGTTCTTCTCCCCTGTCTCTCCATCCACAGATCCTATTTTCTATTACTGGTATATTCTGTTGTCCCCCTAGACTTAAGCTCTCTGAGGGCGTCCGTCTTCAGCACTGGGCCTGAGGCATTGGGGGTGCTCCGTATGTTTCCAGAAGCAGCTCATCCAGGCAATCCAATGGGAAGGTGGCAGTACGTGTGCTCCAAGGATCAGGGAGCAGACTTGCAGAGATTTGATTCAATGTGATGAAGTTCAAGTCTCCGTGCAGCAGAGAAACTGACCACTGCTAAGTTAAAGGGCTCAGCTATCTTGTGTGTTATTAAAACAAACCATGAGCAATAAGGAAAAGACATTGGTCTGAGTGCCAACATACAGGGTTCGAGTCCTAGCATTGCCACTTATTGGCTGTGTAAGTTTGGTCAGATTCCATTATTTTATTTCTCTGGGTCTCAGCTCTCTCTTCTATAATTCAGGAATGATAATGCCTACCTTATTGACCTATTATGATAAATATGTTATTAATGATGTTATTTAAAAATGAGATCATGTAGGTGGAATCACTACTGGCCCAGAATAGAGAATTCAGTAATTCAGTAATTATGTTTTCCTTCTTTCATGGTTGTTAGGGAGGCTTCAAAAATAAATGAAACCTGAAACCTGTCCTTAATTCAGAATAAGAGATAAGAAATTATGTATAATATGGAATGTGATAAGCAGGACAATGGGAATAACCACATCATGGGATCAGAGGAAGGGCCCAGATGGATCTTTCTGATTTATTCATTCAATTTCCATTAACTGTGTGCCAAGCACAGTGGCAGGCCATGGGCACTGACAAAAATAGGATATGGCAGTTGCCCTGAAGGGACTCTCAGACTGGGCGTGGGGGAAACAGATGGATAGCAGATTAATTACAATCTAGCTTGTCAGGGTTATTACAGAACAAGAATGCAGGGTACAGGAATGAAGCAGCTAATTCCTAATGCCCTAAATCCAAGGAATCAAAGTCCAAGGAATTGAGTACAGAGAAGCAGGTATCTCCAGACCAGAGTCTATCTTTATGGTTCTTACTCTATTTTTTTTTGGGGGGGGCTGCAGGGGTTTACCAGAGATTGAACTCAGGGACACTTGATTACTGAGTCACATCCTCAGCCCTTTCTCATTTTTTGAGACAGGGTCTCTCTACATCTCTTAGGGCCTAAGTTGCTGAAGCTGGCTTTGAACTTATGATCTTCCTACCTCAGCCTCCCAAGTTGCTGGGATTATAGATGTGCGCCATGACACCTGGCATGATTCTTACTCTTGAATAAAATTTCATTGTACCAGTTCAACCTCTAGAGAAATATGGGTGGGACAGGAATGGCAGGAATTCTATTAACAGTTCAGATAAGAAGACCCAAAGCCTCACAGGACTGTGCTTTCCTGTGTGATCCTCATGACAATGCAATACAGTTGTTAGTTTCCTACAATGATTTTGCAACATGACACATTCATTCAAATTTCAACACGTTTAATGACATTGTCCAAATAACAGGAATGTGCAATGTACTCAATGACAGGAAGAGACAAGAATACATCCTCCCTGGAGAGGACAAGGTACCCATGGAGAAAAAATTTGCAACATTAGAATGGGCATAGATGCCAGGTGAGTGGCAGTCACACAGGTGCACAGTTGTACAGGAAAGAAAGGCATGGAGACCCAGTGCTGGAAGACTTGTCTGTAGGCCTCCAACTGTGATCATGCATCAGTCATTTAATCTCTTAGAGCCTCAGTTTTATATATATTTGAATCCAGGACCTAACATGTGCTAGGAAAGGACACTACTCCTGAGCTACACCCCCAGCCTTTCCACCCCTTTTAAAAATAGGGATAATAGTTACAAGCCTGGACTGTCTCCCAGAGTTGTGCAAATTAATTGGGCTAGTTTTGGAAAGAACTGTGAAATCTGTAAAACAAAGTTCTCAGTATGATTTCAGATATAGAGCACTATGGGAATCTACAAGAATCCAAAAGAAGATAGGTGAGCAAGAACACTTTCCCACAGGAAGGAGGGCTCCCAGAGATTCAGAGAAATAGAAGGAAGCGAGGACAGGGCCAGGGAGAAAGATGGGCGGGACAGGAGCAGCAGGAATCCTATTAACAGCTCAGATAAGAAGACCCAAAGCCTCATAGGACTGTGCTTCCCTGTGTGATCCTCATGACAACCTTATCTTCATGTTCTGGATGAGGGAACTGAGGCCCAGAGAGTCAAAGGAACATATCCAAACTCACAGAATTGGGAAGGAGCACAGCTGGGTTTCAAACCTAGGTCTCTCTGATTCTAGAACACTCACCCTTTTCCCTTTACCTCTCTAGGAAAGCAGGAAATGAAAGAGACATTTGGTGGACCAGAGTTAGACCACAAAGAGATTAGATGACACAGAAGGTCAGGACCAGTTGTGGAGACAGCTGAGTGCCCATCATGGCCCTTGGCATTAGGGAAGGGGCAAACAGGATAGAAGATTCCTTCTGGTAAG